AGTGGTGAGTTCGATGACTATCTTAGAGAGCATGGGATTTTATCCCAACTCACACCTCCTGGGACTCCACAATGGAATGGTGTCTCTGAAAGGAGGAATCGAACCCTGCTTGACATGGTTCGTTCTATGATGGGTCATTCGACTCTACCAGAATCATTCTGGGGGTATGCGCTGAGCACTGCAATATATACTCTTAACCGAGTTCCAACCAAGGCGGTTGAAGGAACACCATACCAGCTATGGACGGGCAAATGCCCGGTTCTGTCACACTTAAATATTTGGGGCTGTTAGGCTTATGTCAAACGTCTTATGACGAATGACAAGCTTGACGCCAAGTCTGATAAGTGTTTCTTCGTGGGATACCCAAAGGAAACTCGAGGGTATTCATTCTATCACCCTATCGATAAGAAGGTATTCGTTGCTCGCAATGGTGTCTTCCTCGAGAAGGAATTTCTCTCCAACGCAACTAGTGGGAGAAAAATAGAGCTCGAAGAAATTCGAGACGACGAAGAAAATACCGCGCCGGTTCAGGAACATGAGCTAGAGAAACAAACTATTGTACCTCAAAATGCTCAAGATACACAAGAACCCCGTAGGTCTAACCGGTTACGCACACAACCTGAAAGGTATGGATTCCTCCTAACCTTTGAGGGTGACGTAATGCTTATCGGCCAGGATGAGCCGGAGACCTACCTCGAGGCAATCAGTTGTCCCGAGGCTGAGGAATGGCATCAAGCCATGCAGTCCGAAATGGATTCCATGTACACCAACCAAGTATGGACTTTGGTTGATGCACCCGAAGGGATCAAACCCATTGGGTGCAAATGGGTCTTCAAAAAGAAGACTGACATGGATGGTAAGGTGCAAACCTTGAAGGCACGATTGGTAGCAAAAGGATATCGTCAAATACATGGTATCGACTATGACGAAACTTTTTCTCCAGTTGTCATGATTAAATCCATTCGGATCTTACTTGCTATCGCAGCATACCACGATTACGAAATCTGGCAAATGGACGTCAAAACGGCTTTCCTTAATGGAAACCTCCTTGAGGATGTCTTTATGACACAACCTGAAGGGTTTTGCGCTCCTGAAGAATCTACCAAGGTATGCAAGTTGCAGCGATCAATCTACGGATTGAAGCAAGCCTCACGGAGTTGGAACATCCGCTTTCACGAAACTGTCATTGGCTTTGGTTTTGAAAGAAATTCGGATGAATCTTGTGTATACAAGAAGGTCAGTGGGAATGCTGTAGTCTTCCTTGCTCTGTATGTTGATGACATACTGTTCATAGGAAACGATATTCCTACTTTAACCACCGTCAAAACGTGGTTGAGTAAGTGTTTCTCTATGAAGGACTTGGGAGATGCCAGCTATGCACTTGGGATAAGGATCTATAGGGATAGATCACGGAAGCTGTTAGGTCTCAGTCAAAGTACATACATAGACAAGGTCCTCGCTAGATTCAGCATGTCTGAGTCGAAACGAGGAAGTTTGCCTATGGTCCAAGGCACGAGTCTTTCCAAGACTCAGGGTGCTTCCACTCCGGAGGAAGTAGAACGCATGAGAAATGTTCCTTATGCGTCGGCCATTGGGTCCATCATGTATGCGATGGTATGTACGAGACCTGATGTCGCCTTTGCTCTGAGTGTCACAAGTAGATACCAGTCCAACCCTGGCGAAAGCCATTGGACGGCTGTGAAGAACATCCTTAAGTACTTCCGTAGGACTAAGGATGCCTTCCTGGTATATGGCGGAAAAGAAGAGCTTAGTATTATTGGATATACTGATGCCAGCTTCCAAACTGATAGAGACGACTTCAAGTCGCAGGCAGGGTATGTGTTTTGTTTGAATGGCGGAGCTGTTACCTGGAAGAGTTACAAGCAAGATACTACCGCTGATTCCACTACAGAAGCAGAGTACATGGCTGCAGCCGAGGCAACCAAGGAAGGTGTGTGGCTCAAGAATTTTATTACTGAGCTTGGAGTGGTTCCTAGCATCAAGAACCCTATACCGTTGTTTTGCGACAACAATGAGGCAATTGCACAAGCAAAAGAACCTCGGTCTCACCAGAAGACCAAAGACATCGTTAGACGTTATCACATCATACGAGAAATCGTTGCACGTGGGGACCTTGAGATTTGCAAGATAGGTACAGACGACAATATCGCGGATCCGTTGACGAAGGCTTTGGGAAAGCCTAAACACGAGAGTCATACGTGGTCCATGGGCATTCGAGAAATGCTTGATTGGCCTTAGGGCAAGTGGGAGATTGTTGTATTTAGGTGCCCTAGCGGCAATCAAATACCTATGTAACTGTACACTTTATCATGAATGAAAGGCCTTGAAGTATGTTTTATATCTCGTGTAACATAACATAGCTTCAGTCCATAGACGATAGCGCTTCAGTAACATAGATGAGGACTACGATGTTCTGATTATGAGACTGTTACTTCTTGACGAAGGCTATGTCTAGAATATCCCTAGTCGCACTTTATGATAATACGGACGTCATAACGTATCAAGACTAGTACGTACGAGATGAGATAGTTGCGTCTCATAGACTATAGGTATTGTGATATCTTAATCTGTACGTAGGTGCATATTATAT